GACAGTAATCTTTGGATATCTTAACGTTGATGACTTTTATTACAGAATTTTAGCTTAATATTTTTATGCTTTTTATCTAAAGTTGTTGTTGTTAGGTGCCATCGAGTTAGTTCTGACTCATAGCGACTCTACATACAACAGAATGAAACACTGCCCAGTCCTGCACCATCCTCACAGTTGTTGCTCTCTTCGAGCCCGTTGTTGCAGTCACTGTGTCGTCCTCTTTTTCACTAACCCTCTACTTTACCAAGCATGATATTCTTCTCCAAGGACCAGTCTCTCTTGATAATGTGTTCAAAGTATGTGAGATAAAGTCTTGCTGCCCTCACTTCTGAGGATCATTCTGGCTGTACTTCTTCCAAGAAATTTGTTTGTTCTTCTGGCAGTCCATAGTCAGTATTCTTCGCCAGCATCATAATTCAAATGCATCAATTCTTCTTTGTTGTTGTTGTTGTTATGTGCCGTCGAGTCAGCCCTGACTCATAGCGACCCCTCCTTGGGTTTCCGAGGCAGTATCACTACGGAAGTAGGATTGCCCAACCTTCCTTCCGAGGAGTGGCTGGTGGGTTTGAACCGCCAGCCTTCTGGTTAGCAGTCAAGTGCCTTAGCCACTATGCTACCAGAGCTCCCTTCAATTCTTCTTAGGTCTTCCTTATTCATTGTTCAGCTTTCACATGCATATGAGGCAATTGAAGATTTCATGACTTAGGTCAGGCATGTCTTAGTCCTCAAAGTGACATCTTTGCTTTTTAATACTTTGAAGAGGTCTTTTGCAAATACAATCCATCGTTTGATTTCTTGACCATTGCTTCTATGGGCATTGATTGTGGATCTGACTAAAATGAAATCCTTGACAACTTCAGTCTTTTCTCCATTTATCATGATGTTGCTTACTGGTCCAGTTATGAGGATTTTGTTTGTTTTGTCTACATTAGGTGCATTTATCTTCAGTCCTCCTTTCTCCCTTTCCTGTAGCCTTCTGTCCATACCCAACCCCAGTTCTCTTTGCCACTTTGCATTTCAGGTCTGCTGTACCCTCATGCTACCCTGTGTTTACTTTCACAAAAAGATAAATTCATTGATTCTAAGGAATATAAGGAAATGACATAAGATGATATCCTGAATGTAGGGAGGGAGTTGTTGGAGTTTTGGTTTTTCTCAGTTGCAAATCAATCTTACATGAACTGGAGATTGCCTCTTATTCCACTTCGTATGAGGCATTGGTAATCAGTGGTAGAATTCTTACCTTCCATGTATGTGTAAGACCCAAGTTTGATTTCCTGGCCAGTGTATCTCATGCACAGCCACCACCCCTGTAAGTGGAGGTCTTGCTATGGTACTGAACAGGTTTCAGCAGAACTTCCAGACTAAGACAGAATAGAAAGAAATGCCTGGCAATCTACTTTCATAAATCAGCCAATGAAAACCCTACGAATCTCAACCGTCCGATCCACAGTTGATCATGGCATTGGTGCAGGACTAGGGTAGAATTTTATTCTGTTGTGCATGAAGTCACCATGAGTCCTGGGACTGACTTCACAGCAGCTAACAACAACAGCATCCACTTTGGGGTCCACTAGACGATAGCAACAGCAGAATAGGGCAGCTGCAGGGGACTTCCTTATCACAAGGAACAAAAAGATGTAGGAACATCAGCTCCAGCAAATAAAAAGGGAAAAGTGTGGTTGGAAATGGCTGAAGAGGAGTACTGAAGAGATCCAAATAATTTTAAGTATGTTTTTAGGGATTCTTTCGAATGCGTTAATTGTCAAAAAAATGAGGAGGGAGAATTAGAGCTGTTCACTAATATATCAACAGTTGGATTCTAGGCTTTCTTATTATTATGAAACCAGAATATTTAGAATTTAAAAGCATTTGTTCATTTAGTCAATGTAGAAATAATGGTGGAAAAAAAGGCTTTGAGAGTCAGGAGACCAACTGTGTATTACCTTTCAGATCACTCTCTGGACCAAATTTCTTCAGTTGTAAAGACTAGCATAGATGATCCTTTTCAGTTCTAAAATTCAGTAGCTACATTCAAGTGGAATTACTGTATGTGATTCCCCAGGTGTTAATGGGAACATGTGTTTCAGATTTCAGGATGCCTGAAACACATCTTCCCCCAAACCCAGGAAAGAAAGTGCAAATTTTGTTGCTGACTTTGAGACCTTGCAGCCAGAGATACTGAAAATGAGGCATGCACTTTAGAAGCACTGTTGGTGTTCTAGCTATAGGTCTTTTTTCTTCTCTCTCTAGTATTAGTAGCAGTTCTTTCTCTAGCAGTGGGGTCCCAAAGAATAGAGATCTCAGCTATAGGACTGAGGTTCTGAGTTCAGCTAAGGACACTCTGATTTTAGTCTCAGAAAGTCTGGATTATGAAATAGAGGCTTTGGCAGCATCTCTGAAAAATTTCAGCCTTAGGTCTGATGCCCATTCATGTGTATCGATCACCTGCATCAACACCACGTGCAGACTGGTTTCTTGTAGAATTCTGATTTAAATGAAGCCTATTTTTCTTCTTTCTTTTTTTTTCTGGGTTTACCATCATGGTTTACTTTGATTTATACCTGCTGGTTTTCTCAAGTATCCTAAACCAAATACACACACACATATACATTGATGTGGGAAAAAAAAATCCTAACTTCTGTTATTGACTTGACTACAAGATTAACTCTGAAAATATCATACATCTGATGGATGATGTATCTTTTAATTCATTCTTTATTGTAATGAGATGGAGGTTTACAAATTTCCTTTATTCTCATCTTTCATCCTATAGAAGTTCCAGGCTTTTTAATAGTATATGAAATACATGAGTCTTACTGAGTATATCTATGAAAGGCAGCTTAGCAAAGTGCTTAAGTTTATGGATTCCAGCCATACTTCCTGGATTAGAATCATAGCTCCACCACTTTCTAGCTCTGTCACCTTAAATGAGTTACCTAACCTCTGTACCTCAATTTCCTCATCTGCAAATCAAGGATAAATATAATACCTGATTTAACAAGGTTTTTCTAGAGGTTGAATGATTTAATATGTCTTAAACACTTAGAATAGAGCCTTTCACACTGTAAACACTACATAAATACCTGTTGAATAATCATTTTTTTAAAAAGTAAAAGTAAATCTAGATTGTTTCTCTGAGCCACCTCCTTTAAAGGATAATTGCCCTTTGGCCTGTGAATTAACTTGTACTTTTTAGTGTTGCCTCACTGGCTTATTGCCCTAAGAAGTTCTTCCTTGGTAGAGCTTGCTTTCTGGAAGTAGTCTTTCTTGTTTTCAGAGTGAATTTAGGAGTTAGTTTTTAAATTATGAATGGCTCTAATCATATTTCCTTTAAAATTCATTTTACATTGATGAGTTATTTATAGATTTTGCTGCTTTATAAATTGAAGTAAAATATTATTTCATATATTTATGTTTTATGATTACCTGTCACCCTATATCAGACTTGGTTAGGTAGTTTCATCATATTTTACAGATAAATGCAAAAAGGTTCTTGATAGAAATTTGAATTCTAGGTAAAAGAGCTACAGTGAAAATGGACTTTAGATATAAATGATAGATCAGTGTGAAAAATAAATCTGTATTCCAAAAGTTCTATGAGATTCTAAAAACCAGTATGATTGTACCATATTAAAACTTTGCTGAAAACCATAAATTAATAAAACCAAAAAGCTCCTTATATTTATAGAAGACATCACAATTACATATTCATAAACATTATTGTGTTTTGAGGTAGGAAAGGCAGTTGCTATTCCTATTCTACTAAAAAGGTAATTAGAGGCCCGAAAAAGCTCAATAACTAGATTGTTTGTTCAGTGCCTTAGCAGGATGAGAATTAATCTTTTTATTCCTAGTCCTTTGCTTTTATCTCTTCTTCTGTTTACAAATATACATTTAAAAATATACAAAAGTAACATTTTTACTTTAATTAACTTTCCTATTAAATCTCTAGAATTTCTTCTTTATAGTAGTAAGCTTTTTCCACTGTTCCCTGGTGATTAAGCCTTCATTTGATTACTAAAGTCTTGAAAGATGTGTTTATAGCTATAAGGTGAGGTCCTATAGAGATAGGATCCTAAAGAGAGCTTTCTGGAGAGGTGCCAGTGATTTTCCCTTTAAAAATCAAAGATAATATTTTAAAACTGTAAAGTTCTGTAATAAGAAATTGATTAGCATATTTTCAGAATACGAGTGTGAATAGTATGTTTATAATTTCAGCTTGTATACATATTGTAAAAGGTTGGGATTTTTTATACCTAGAGGATTATATTAGTAAAGATATGAGATCAATTTGTTTGTTAGAATGTTGGTGCAAAAGGGCTGCCTGCAATTCTAAATGAGATTTTCCATAAGTCTGTAACAGCAAAGTTATTGAAAGGAAAAAGAAAGTTGGTTTGCTTGACATTTTTATGAGTAAATGAGAATACATTATGGAAAGTAAATATATAGTAAATAGTACATGGCATCTTTCTTTTAACAAAAATTTACCATAGGATTTACTTAGAGAACCTGAAAATAAAAATTTATCAAGTCTAAAAGAATGGAGTTTAGAGAGGTATAGTACACATACACATTTGGATTCCAATATTTAACTGTCTTTAAATTATATTGCCATATAATTATTTTCATAGTAGCACCTATCTAAAACTCAGCTACTAGGTAATTGCAACTGTGAATCAGGAAGTAAGTAGGAAAAGCTTCTAAAGAGCCAAAAGGGACATAAGAAGCCACGTACTCAAATGGGAGCCTCTCAGGTGGATGGAAACTTTTCATTCTTATACTAACATAATTTTAATACTTTTACCAGACTTATTTTGAAACCTGTAGTTTGTGGGGAAGTTAGAAGAGAAGGACTGCTATTGGCTTATAAACTGACAAAAATGTGAAGTAATAGCTGATAGCCAAGAAGGAGCCAGAAAAAGACATTATTTAATTGGATTTCTGCTAGTGATTTTTAAAATAATATTCTTGATATATAATTATTTCACTTACAGATGATGAAGAACGAGAACTTCAAATGGATCCTGCAGACTATGGAAAGCAGCGTTTCAATGATGTCCTTTAAGTGCTAAAGGAAAACTTAAGAAAACCTAAAGTGCTGTAAAATGGAATCATTTCTACTTTGTTGTTTTTTGACTTTTGTTGTAAAAGATCAGTTGTATCAGTTGTAAAGATACATTGAGATAGATTTAAGTAAAAACTTTAATGGAAGAATGTACCCATGTACATATGTGAACTTTTTCATACTGTATTATCAAAGCAAAGACTTTTTTTTGGTTATGATACAGTTGAGCCAAAAACAAAACAAGCAAAACTGTAATCTTTACATTTAAAGCAAACTAATGTATATTTTAAATTTTACTGAGCCTAATTCTTTCCAAAAGTGGACAAACAGGAAAAAATTATTGTACAGTTTATATGTTGCACATAGCATAACCACAGTGAGAATAATTATTCAGCTGAGAAACTTTTTATATACTAATATATTCTTTTTAGCCCAACCAGGTTTTCTGTTCCCTATACCCTTCATCCCATGCTCTTCATGGAGTTATCCTAGAATAGTTACATAAGAAGGGGAAAACTGGTAGCTAAGCACTAGGTAGCATGTATGCAAAATCATCTCCCTATTTCTTTTATCTTACATGAGTACTGATGTGTTTTGGCTGAGGCCTGATGGAAGTTGAGATAACCTCCAAAGACGTAACAGTATTTATGAGTCATACCTTGCTAAATTCATGAAATTATGGAATGTATGATTGACAATATATTTTCAGTTTTTATTTGTTTCACATCCTACCAGTACTGTTTAACTGTGGCCAGCACTAGCCAAATTTTTTGTTTTCAGAGTTCAAGTTGGTGAAGATACTCATGATTTAAATGCCAGATCCTGAAAGGGGCTAACTCAACTTGGAAATGAATCTGCAATCAGTATTTCAAAGCTTCTCTGGTAGTTTTAGTGATCTTATTTAACTAGGGTTTTCAGAAATGCTAAATAAGGAATTTTAACAGATGTTTTTATTAATGCACAGATAAATAGAAGTAAAGTGAGGTCTACAGCCATTTTATTAAAATAGCTTAAAAGTTTATAATAAAGATGAAGAATGTTTGTAATTACTTAGTATGTTAGTAAAGAACCCATCAACCTCATATTTGCTAGACTTGTAAAATTATTTTAAATGCATCTGTCTTTCTTGATACTATTCACTAGAATGTGTAGCATAGCTAATTCTTATTTTCTGATTCAAAGTACTTTTAAATCCTATCTCCCTTCCAAAAAACAAAAGGTTTTGATCATAAGGGCCGATTTAAAGTTGTTAACCCTGTTGTTTCAGAAGGGCTACTGTTAATTGCACATAAACATGAAATGCTTTTGTTTTTCTGTACTCAGGTTATAGTCAAACTTCAGATTTACAGAGATAAATATGTTGTTCACTTGTTGGAGGTGCAGAAATTCTTAGACTTCAGTTTGAAATTATTTAGTGACCAGGAAAAGATGCAATAGTTTGCTAAAATTGTTTTTTTTCCACAGTATCAAAGTAAGCAATTCATGTCTTTGCTATCAGTAACAAGCTAACAATGAATTGGTATGATGGTTCACAGAATTTTTTGAATGGAGTTAAAGGGAATTGATGTGGGCATTAGTGTAGGGAAAATGAATACTCCTAGTAATATTTTATTTTTAATACTATAAAATATTTACAAATGAAAACTATCTAATGACCTGCCTTAGTTCGTTTGGCATAAAAACAATCATTTGATTATACAGTAGCTATTATTTACACAGCACAATTTCTTCATTTAGCAGCCTAGATGTTTTATAAACTGAGAAACCTTGGACCAATTGATAAAATTTCTGACTGTATTAACATTTTAGTACTACAAAATACTATGTGAATCTCTGAAAGTTCTAGTATTCTGTAGTCTGCTTTAGACATGCTGGTTTTATAATGTTTTACTTCTGCCTTAAGATTTAGGTTTTTTAATGTGTTTTTGGCTTGGATTAAATTAAGTGTTAATTTGATAGAAACTCTGATTTTTTAAAAAATCATCACTTACTGGGTTCTAATAAATTAAAAATTAAACTTGTTTCACTGTTTTGCTGATTCTGATATATCTACACACATCACACTTGTGATACAAGCAGTCACATTTTTTAATAATTTATTTTTTATTGTGATTTGGGTGAAAGTTTACAAAGAAAATTCATTTTTCATACAGCAATTCATACACATTTCATTTCATGACATTGATTGCAATCCACCTAGTAACAGCTCTCTTCCCACTTCCTGCCTATGGTTGCCTTTTCCCTATGTCCTTTCTATGCATTCCTGCCCTCTGAGGTGTCTCCCTGTGCAAATACTGCCCTTCTGATCTTCATGGTTGATTGTTCTAAGGAGTGTACCTGCCTGGTGTAAATTTTCACCTTATATGCCTGTCTGTTGCTTGGATGAAAGCCATGGGAATGAGTTCAGTTTCAGGCCTGAAGGGTGTGAATAGGGCCTTCCCAGGTCTCTATCAGACCAGTAAGGCTGGTCTTTTTTATGATTTTGAGTTTTGTTCCACATTTTTCTCCCACTCTATTACTTATCCCTTTCTAAGTGGTTGACAGTGGCAGCCCAAGCACCATCTAGTTCTTCTGCTCTCAGCGTCCTGTACCTGAGGTTTGCATGATCCACTAGTCCCTTGGACTAATTGTTTCTACGTGTCTTTGGTTTTCTTCATTCTTCTTTGCTCCAGACGAGGAGAGACCAATTGTTTCATCTAGATGGCTGCTTGCAAGCTTTTAAGACTCCCGTCACTACTCACCAAAGTAGGATGTAGAACAGTGTTTTTGTGTAATATGTTATGCCAATTGAGCTTGATGTCCCCCACAACCATGGTCCCAAACCCATGAGCCCAACCACTTGCTCCCTCAGGGTGGTTGGCTGTGGCTAAGAAGTTATCCCAACTTTGCCCCCTGTTCTATTTATATGGACATTCTTACAGCACATACAAAGATGTATGTAGAAATAGCATCTGCCACACTTGCATATGGTCATGGGTATTCCCTTTTGCCTAGACATACCTGCTACCTATGTATCCATCTGTAGATTAACGTTTATTATTACTGATAATGCAGTATTGTATATATAAAAATGTTTATCTTTGTTGTCTGTACCTCTTGGGCATCTATCTATGTCTTCCTTTTCCTTAGTGATTGTGTTAGTCATAGGCAGTTTAGTATATTGCCTTTCCCTTCACCAAAAACAGTAATTGTCTATTACCTATCTCACAGTTTTCCTGTTTTATCACTAAAATTTGAATAAATTTGGAACTCAACTTAAAGCTAAACTACAGTGGCAGACATTTCTTTGGTTTTAACTGTAAGCTAGTTCCTTTAACAAATATCGCATGCCTACTGTGGGCCCAGTAATGTTCTAGGTAATAAGAATTCCGCAGTGTACAGGATGGACAATGTCTCTTATTCTCTTGCAGCTTACATTCTAGTGGGGGCAGTCAAACCAAAAAAACTAAACTCACTGCATCGAGTTGATTCTGACTCATAGTGATCCCCTTTGGGATTCCGAGGCAGTGAATCTTTACAGAAGTAGATTGCCTAGTCTTACTTCTGCAGAGTGCCTGGTGGGTTTGAACTGCCAATCTCCTGGTTAGCAGTCAAATGCCTTAGGCACTATGCCACCAGAGCTCTTTAGTCAAACAATATACAATTAAAAAAATGAGCCAGGTAATTTTAAATGGCGATAAAAGCTGTTAAAAGTAAAACATAGATGTTACAGACAGTGACCATGAGAGCTATTTTAGCTTGATCAAAGAAAGTTTCTCTGAGGAAATAGCATTTGAGCTGAGCCTGATTGCCAGGAAGTTTCAGCCATTCTGAGTTCTAGGGGATCCTCATTATAGGCAAGGGAACAATGAGTATAGAAGCACTAAGACAGAACAAGTTTGGTTATGTTTGACAAATATGCTAGTAGACTGATATGGCTGGGATATGGTAATAAGGCAGAAAGTGGTAAGGTGAGATCAGTCATTCAGCAAATATTAATTGAATGCCTACTATGTGACAGGCATTATTTTAAACACTATGTAAGCCTCACCTCCTACAAAAAACAACAACAAAAAAATCACTGTCATCAAGTTGATTCTGACTCACAGCAACTCTATAGGACAATAGAACTTGGAATAGTACTTCCAAGGTTGTAAATGTTTACAGAGCAGGCTCCCTCATCTTTCTCCCACAAAGCAGCTGGTGGGTTTAAACCACTGACCTTTTGGTTTGCAGCCCAGTGTCACTAGTACCACTAGAGCTGAGTATGTAACAGTAAACAAAATATAAAAGTTCTTGGCTGTCATGGAACTTTCGTTCCAATGAGAACAGATAATAAATAATAAAAATAAAATCATTTCAGCTAGCAATAAGTAAATGCTATGGGAAAAACTAAAGCACTGATATAGTAAGAGTGCTTGCTTTAAAAGCTAGATGGTCAAAGAAAAACCTCACTGAGAGAGTACTGAATAAGAAGGGACCAGTTTCACAAGATCTGATAGCACAATGTTCCAGACATAAGGAATAGTAAGCACAGCAGTCCTAGGATGAGAATGAGGTTGGCATGTCTACCTAGGATGTAGTGAACAAGGGGAAAATAGTGGAATAATGTTGGTGACCTAGGCAGAAGCTTGATTGTAGATGGCCTTGTCGGCTTCAATAATAGGTGTGGGTTTTATTCTAAGTACAATGGCATATCTGTAAGAATGGACTTAGTTTTTCCAACTCTCCAAGCTTCCAGATAATCAGCTTTTCAGTCAACTGGAACATTATAGTAGTGTGGTTGGAGTGTAATGATTAAGAACGAGAAGGATGAGGCCAGGGCAATATGGAACAATATCAGGAAGGGCCTTGTAAGATAAGTTTATAGTCTATTATTAATTAAGCAGAAAAATATGGGAAGGCTTCTTTTTAAGGAATGTGACATGATTCAATTTACATTTTTTAAGGATCACTGTGTGTGTAGAAAGGATTGTGTGTGGGAACAAAATGAGACGAGTGGAAACTGAGATTAACTGTCCCCAGTTAATCTGTTGCATTCATCCAGGTAAGAGATGATGGATTAAGGTGGTAACAATACAGATAAAGAAAAGTGGACATATGCATTGGATGGGAGTGAAAGAACTAAGAAGAACCAAGGATAACTTGTAGGTTTTTGCAATTAGCAACTGGGTGGACAAAGGTTCCATTGACTGGTTTGAAGAATACTGGCATTAGGGAGAAGGTTTTGCAGGAAAAATCAAAAGTTGTACTTTGGTCATGACATTTAAATAGAGATATCAAGAAACTGAATATGATAAATAAGGGCTGAGAATAAAAATTGGGGAGTCAATGGCAAATAGGTGATATT